TCAAAGACACAGAATATAGCCATCGAATTACATAATGATTATGTAAACAGATCATGTTCTATGCATCTAATCCTCAATTGATGAATGCCCACCTGCAACAGTAACTGTATTTAAACATTGATAATTATATAGATATCATGCAAGACTCAAATTAGAAAACTATTGTTATTATTGAAACATTTTATTTTAAAAATTTATCTCCAAAAGAGTAATATTAAAAATCTTATGCTCCCAACAAATCAGTATAATGAAATATAATTATTCTTAACCAACCTCTTTTATTAATTTTAGAGTAGTAATTTCAATTTTATTTACAGTTTGGTAAGCAAGACTGATCTTTCCATTTGTCCCCTCCTAAACATTACCCCTTAACATTTACGATTGACCAAGGAGGCCCAAATTGCCAGGAAACATGCACCACATGGGAAATCTGCACCCTCATCTCTCCCTGCCAAATCCCATCATCAAAGTCAGATACAGATTTGAGTTACTGTTCAAATTGATAATGACACAACTCCTTGGGAACATCCCTTAAATGATCCTTTAACTGCAGGACATCCCCATTAAAACTGAATTTATCCTCACTCTCAGCAGATCCCTTGGATTTCAGAAATCCCTGAGGCTTTAAAGTCTGGGCTAAGTGGACATTGATGAAATGTAGGGGTGGCAAAATATAGAGGTAGCACACCTGAGACTTTCCATAAAAGTGTAATGGGAAGATTTTTCTACCCATGGTAGAGAGGAGGGGATTTGTCTTCTGTATAATTTTGTCTGCTAGATCTTCCTAAGAAGAAAAGCCCTGACTCCAAATACCAACCTGTATAAACATTTTTGTTGTATAAACCCAGAGGCAGCTAATATTTTTTAATGAAGACAAAGGTACGTAGAAAACAATTACGTTTATTTTCAATCACAGTTTACACCAAAGTAATTGAAAGTAAAACTAATTAAACAAGAGAGCATCAATTAGATATCTGTTCTCTCTCTTGTACAATTATATTGTTTTGTTGCCAATGTTTCATAATTGTTGCCAAATAGCTTTTAAATCCTATCATTAGTTTTCCAGAGAAGTGTTAATGTTTTGGACTCCAAGGTGTTTTGCTAGGTATGCTGCTGCTGAAATTATGTCCTCCTTACGAACAGGTGTTCTAGGTACATTTGATTTTTAAAACATTCTGACCTGTTTTAGAAACATTTGAGCTCATGGAAATCTAATTCCTGGAAGTTAATCATTGTAGTTGTTCATGAGTACTTTGTATAATAGCCAAATCTAAACCTAACCACGTTACTATGAGCACCATTTCCCTACTCACCTCAGTCTAAGCAAGAGAGACAACAGCTTTAAAAACAAGTTGGTTTCCAGGGTAAAAGAAGCCAAGATTATGCTATTTAATGGTATCACTGAGAATGGAAGTATAAAAGAAATGAGGTATCTGTGAAAGTGGTCTCTAACTCTTTAAATGTATTCTATTAATATTTTTGCTCAACCTTTGTCCCATCTCCCTTCTGAAATTAGCTATCATTAGGTGATAAATTTAATAGAATGTTTTTAAAAATAATTTCCAAGTAACAAAATCTTATATGTTTTATACAGAGTTATGCAGTATCTGTAATTCCATATTTAACTACACATTATGGTGAAGTCACATATAGTAAAAGGCTTTTCTTCATTTTTTCGGTGTCATTAATTACGACATTACTCGTTTTGATATATCTTTTCCCTCATTCAGCCTAATAATAATAATAGCCTAATCCTATCCATAATTAAATTTTATTCCTGTTTTGTTAGTACATCATAAACCTTTACACCTATTTTCTGGACTTCCATAGCCACAGTCTCATTAATATTTATAACTATCCTGAAAGAAATTTTAAGAATGACTTTAAACATCTTAGGATCATGCAGTCGAGTCTCAGAAAGTTTATATCTACGCCTGGCCTTAGAAGGCTAGTAAACAAATGTGAGATGCCAAAATTCTTTCTCTTACATCCTACCATAAGCCCATCCTAACAACTATACCTCAATTGAGTTTTCCTGGACTTCCTTTATATGAGGGGGGCCCCCCAAAAATGGAATTTATTTATAAACAATTGTTATTTATTCTTACATGTTTAAATTTCAGTCACCTGCAAAGTACTCTCCATTTGATGCAATACACATATTAAGACTTTTTTCCCGCTGCTCAAAACAGGTTTTTTTTTTTTTTTACATATTTAAAATTGTTTATTTTGATAGTAGAATATACCTGACTGGATATAAAATTTTTTTTTTAATTAATTTATTTACTTTTTAAATACATTTGTCTCTGCCTTCCCCCCACCTCTTTCCCTTGCCCCCTCCCACCTTCCCTCCCTCAGTTTTTGAACTCACTGATTTTGAGGCCTTTTAGTGCTTCTACCATTTTTTTTTTTCACCTCTTCTGCATTGGCAAATGTTTCCTTCTAAGGACATTTTTCATCGGGGTAACAAAAAAAAGTAGCTTGGGACAAGATTAAGTGAATAGGGGGATGGAGCACAGAGGTCATGCTGGTTTTTTGGTCAAAAACTGTTGAACACTCAGTATAGTGTGGGCAGATGTGTTTGTAAATCACCCATCATGAAATGGTCAAATGTGTTGAAAGAATTTTCAAAAAAAAAAAAATCACTGAAGCCCAATGCAGCCTCTCACAACAATGTCAGCTGGTACACTGATACAGATGGGTTCCTAGAACACTCACATAGCAGGGGAAGCCTGTACTACAAGGGACCCATGCACCAGAATATAATTCCAGTTTTTTTGGGGGGTCTCCCCTTGTATTTATGTAAAGGACACAGGATTTAGTGCTTGAAGATGAGCTTCCATTGCTCTGGAATGTAGTCGCTGATATTTTATCTTTGAAAATATATTTTAAAATCTTTCTAAGATGAACATCGTTTGTGCCAACCCTTTAATGCCACACAGCATATTAGTAGACAAGGAATAGAGATAAGAAAAGAATACTTCTTTGCCTGATAGAATTTCTATTGTCCTTGTTGAATCTAGATTGTCTACTAGCTCTTCTTGCTTCTGCTTCCTGACATTTTTTGTTTCAGTTTTTGATAAGCTTTTGGTTATTTGCTCTCTCAGATTCCTGGTCCAATCCTCGTACCTCTTCACCTGCTATGGTTCAACTACCCAACAATAACTTAATGTTTGGCCCATTTGCCTGTGATCACACTTATTTTAGGTTTTTAAGTTTGGTCACATCTTCACACTGAGCTGATGGTATAACTAGGTACCCCTTCTGGACATACTGTCTAGCCAGACTTTTTCCTGCTTAAACAACTTTACATGATCTGTACATTAATGCAGCATACTCAGGGCTGAGAAAATAGACCACATGCAGTAAGACCTCTGCTTACAGAAACTCCACATTCTTTCCTACTATGGGCTCCATAGCTGCCTATTATTTCCTATTTTTTCCTACATTCATTAAACATTTCTTGCTAGCTTTCTACCATTTTCCTTAAATCTAGAGGAATAAAGATTCATCTTTGCAGTAGAATGTTGACTTGTGAATGAATTGTTGATACATTGTTGGTATTATGTAACTGGTAAAACTGTCTATATTTGTGATGCAGATAAGCATCCTAAGAAGATGACTTGACAAAAAGCTAGAACTTGTTTAAAATTATAAAAGTCCATCATATTTGTTTTGCCTTATTGGGAGAACGTAACCTCTTCTGCCTAGAGCAGGTTTCCATCACCCAGAAGTAAAATGACTTATGCAACTCAGCAAACAGAAAACAAATTTGAGTTGTATTGAAATGGGTTAATAGTTTAAATTCTCCACTGGTCCTTGTTAGTTACACCAGGGGGAAAACAAACAAACAAACATCTGTCTAGTTAAATGATGGATATTGGAATGTTTCTGTCATAATAGCCAAGAGTACTGTTATGATAAATTTGGCTAGGTTTCAGCGTGCAAGTTCACAGCTAGTTAGCGGGACTCAAAAAAGATGTAGAAAGTTGTATAACAGCTGCAGTTATACTGAAAATCTCATAAATACCAATAACTTTTCAGCTAAGATCATACTTTTTCATTCTGTAGCCCCTCAGGAAGTTATTTCTAGTTAACAACACATATGATAGAAGCAGATTGGTACCTAATTTTTAAGCATAATGAACCCAGTTTTCTTCTCTTGTAGGAAAACACTGAGAGCATCTGACATACTGACTCCATGTTACGACCATAGTCTTCTATTTTACAATATGTGAGAATCATTGAAATGGTAAAATCCATGTGCTGCATCCCATTTAAACTTCCCATGGAAAACAGGAAATTTTGATATGGCTACTTTGTCATAGTCCTAATGTTGCTACATACATTTTGTGACAACTCCCCCTCCCCTGCCCCACAAAAGTACAAGTTTCCAATGAACCTGGTTACCAAGAGATGGGCACTCTAGGGATTCTAACAATATCACTGTCTCTGTCTCTTTGCCGGACTTCCCCTGTTCTCGACTCCTCTGTAGGCGCCAGTGTTAACCCTCAAGGAAATCAGAAAACAGTTGAAACCAGTGACCCAGACATTTCATCTGCGGCTCCCGAGTGGAGTTTTCTATGGTGCACAGATTAGGGACACAAGGCTACAGCAAGTACGTTCTCTCACCTCATTGCCCCATCTAGGGCCACTCTGACACGCAGCCAACCACACAATCTTTGTGGCTTCCAGACTGCTCAGCATGGGGCCGCTGTGAGCACAACCACCCTGGACATCCAAGCGGCGTACTCTATCATTCTAGAAACCATAAGGCTGAGTGAGGCATGGCTAGTGGGCTTTGGGTCTCCAGAAGAATGCCGTGCTCGGACTGGAATCTCCTCCCTGCTCGAGCAATGTTGCTGCAGGTGCACGTGGGGCCCTCAAGAGGGCGCGCGGTCAGAGCTCAGCGGCTGGCTGATGCGCATGCGTGTCTCTGGCTTCTCCTTCCGGTCGCCACGGTCGCCACCGCCGCCACGGAGGCTGGTCCACTCACCGCCATGTCGGATTACTGCTCTCCCAAGTACCAGAGCGGAGACCTGGTGTTCGCCAAGTTAAAGGGCTATGCCCACTGGCCAGCCAGGATCGAGCACATGGCCGAACACAACCGGTATCAAGTGTTCTTCTTTGGGACCCACGAGACTGCCCTCCTGGGCCCCAAACACCTCTTCCCCTACAAGGAGTGCAAGGAGAAGTTTGGCAAGCCCAACAAGAGGAGGGGCTTCAGCCAGGGGCTGTGGGAGATCGAGAACAACCCCACCATCCAGGTCTGCGATGGCCAAAGCCCCCAGGAGAAGAGCAGGTCTGAAGGGCCAGAGCTAGGGCCGCAGCCTGAGGCCTCCGAGACCACTGAGGCCCAGAAGAGCGGTGCCCGTGGCGTAGATGAGAACGGCGAGCTCGGCGTAGATGAGCTGGCCCAGGAGCAGGATGAGGTGGGTCCGCTGAAGCGGATCGCAGAGGAAGTGCTGGAGGTCGCCCCCAAACGTCCCAAGGAGTCCGACCCAGAAGGCGAAGAGGAGAAGGTGGCAGCTGCCTGCGAGGCTGCGAGGCCGCTCCTGGTGGAGGCACTGGAGCCAGGCCCTGCCTGGGGGCCACCAGAGGAAGAGGGGGAGCATCAGGAAGAAGCTCCCGAGGTGGAGGAGGAGGCTGAGGTCCCGGGCGATGGAGGTCCGGAGAGCCTGTAGTCACCAAAGTGTCAACAAGAGCCCCTGCCCCGTTCCTGATGTGGCCACGGCCTACGAACTGGGACCACCTTCCCAACCCCACCTGCTATCCTCCACCCTCTCTCCAAATCCGCACCTAGCCTTGAGGCTGACCTGGATGGACAGGCTACCTGTCCATCACTTCTGCACCCACGCCCCTGAGATCTGAGTCAGGGCGTCTGCGTCATGGGATGAGATGAGACCACCGTGTACCTTCCTGCCTGGAACTGTTGCCCAAATCTTCTGTTGGGACTTGCACCGGCCGTTCCCACCTCCCGACACCCGTCTCTCCCTTCCCCAGACATTCTGGACCTCTACGTTGGAATTGGGCAGGAGTGGAAGGGGTGAGGAGGAAGAGCTGGACGGACTTCCGGAGGCCTGGAAGGGACAATCCTGAAACTGTGGTGGTGGGTGGATGGTGGCAGGAGCATGATACCTTCTGAGTTCCCGACCACTCCTCCCATACCTATTATACCAGTTGCTTAGAGCTAGGAAAAGTAGGACAGCTTGTGGGGAGGGCCTGCCTTCCAAAAGTCCTTTTGCTAACCCAGGGAGTTCTGAGAATTGTAGATTTTCATCAAATGATTTGGGGATTCCCAAGTTGTTTGTGAGATGAAAGGCTTAGCTCTGCCTAGCTTCTTGGATTGGAATGGTGAGGAGCATCTGTCCCCATTTAGATCTTTGGGACCACATGGATTGTCCTGGGAAGACCCCTGGCCACCCTTCCTCTCTCCCCACAACCTCAAGGCCATCCTACAGTCATATACCACCACATAAAAGACAAGGTATATAGTTTAGGAACCTTTTTAATGATAGGAAAATTTTTGAAAATTAAGAACTACCCTGGCTATACCTCCGTTGGGCCCATAGCTCTTCCATTGCTATTTTCATTTCTTAGATGAACTAGGAGGTTCCCCTTCTGTTCGGAGTTTGATGTCTTTTTGTAGTTAAGGCTTTGGTGTTCCTTTGCAATATCATTTCCCATCCTCATCTCCCAACCTAGCACCCTAAGTATTGCAGCCAGACCTGACATGTAACCTACTGAAAAGAAAGACAAGGGATCCCTCCTGACCTCCTACTAGTGGTCTCTCTATGCCCTTTTCATCTTTGCCTTTTTCACTCCTGACCTTCTCCCTTGGGCTCTGATAAAACACTGTTGACTGCTTAGCTTTGGAAGTTTAGATCTGAAGTATTTCAGTTCCAGGAAATAAAACTCATTGATTATGTTAAACAAATCTCAGGTCTGTTTCTTTGGTTTCTGAAGAATTGGCCCTTAAATGTAGTACGCCTCTTTTCTATACATCCTGTGTAAAAACAGTTTTTGTAATATACAGGGATATTTTAGAATCACCTTTCATAAACCTTTGTTATACTAAGATCTCTATTCCTCACTCCAACTATAGTAGATATTTCCACTGATTAGAATGAGTGACAGTAAGTCAACAAAATATTTGAATGATGACAAACTTATACAATAACTGAATTTCTAATATTTTACGTGCTTTGCCAAACAACGGACCTGGCAAAGAATAAGGGTAAGAGAATTGGATCTTCATTTAGTTGTTGCTTTTCCAGATTTTATCACTAGTCTCCTACCTCTAACACTGATCACATGAAAAAAGCAGTAGCTTTATATTTCCCCTTCTTAAAATATGTAGTATCTGCCAGATGTTTTGTCTTTTCGGTGTCTTTGCGTGACTATCTGGGTATATTTAAATATACTTAATAATCACATGCTGGGTTCCAGTTTCTGTATCTGTTAACAATGCATGCATGCAGAGGTTTAGTAACCAACAGGATTGGCAACTAAACATGACCCTATTTTTCCATCTCTATAAGATGGTATTATTTTACTCCAAGGCTTATAAAATCACGATTCCTTGTTTTTCAACTACTGCTATTACATGCTAGGAGTTACTATCCAATAATTTTTTATCATTCAGTCTTTGTAATATCTGGTATGGCAGGCATCAGTATTAGATTTCCTACTGGAAACAGTGCTCATACAAAGAAGTTAGGTGGCTTTTCTTGCACTTCACAGGAAACTCAGGATTCAAATACAGATTTTACTGGGCCAAGCCTAAATTTTGTCCCCTGAATTGCACATTCAAAACACTAACCATGAAATTGGAAGTTAACAAAATTACAATTTTAGTATTTATAACAAGTAATTAGGAATGTAACATGTATATAGCGTAAATTGAGCCAGGCAATATACCATGTTCTATATATGTAATGTCTCTATTAGTACAACTACCAATTAAATACCTACTGTTACCTCTATTTTAAATTGGCAGGAGCTGAAATTCAGAGGCATTAAGTAATTTTCCCAAGGTCATATGAGAGTAGATGAACCAGGATTCAAAGACAAGTCTTTCTCATTCTAAATCATAGGTGCTTTGTTTTATTATTGTATTGCTTCCCACTCAAATAAAATGGGAGTACTGACTGATTCTCCTCTGCTATTTTGAAGTGAAAATTCAGAAATTTGTATAGCAAAGAATATATTAACAAGTATTGCTAGTGGGTATGTGAAATATAAACCATTTGGGGCAACTTACAATTGTTTTGTCATTAAATGACTTGGTGAAATGATGAGGACAATTGCACATTCAATATTTTTCAAGAAGTGTGTGACTATAGGAAGTCTGAATATGGATTGGTATATTTGCCATAGGCAAGCATGTGATTTTAATAAGGTTTTTATGGAGGCACATCTTCTGAAATGATTCAATAAACTGAGACATAGAAAATGAAATTACTACCATTTAATTCTGTCTCTGTATTTTTTTTTTTTTGTTTCTAATGTTAGGGATAAGAAAAGGTGTTTATTAGGCAGTATCACACGTTCACCTTCTTGGGGACTATAATATGGCAGTGAAAATGGTAATCAGACTAATAATAACACATCTACAGGATGATACACAGAGTTAGCAAACAAAATTAAAAACCACTAAAGGAAGGAAAACATGGAAAAACCTGTACTCTCAGCCCTCTTCTTCCAGGCAGTAAATACTTTTCATGCTTTGGTGGCCAAGAGATGTTGCTGTGTGGACTGAAAAAGATAATGCTTTCTAAAATTTCTTCACTTGTTTAAAATTCCCCATAATTCCAATTCTGTCCTTTGTCTTCTGAACAACATTTGCGTCAATGACAAAATTACTGATCAATAATTAATTACCTTACTGAACAAAGAGCACTGCTCAGCCTCTTGCTGAGCCTGTGTTGTGGGTATTCAAATGTGTTCATGACTGTTCTGAAGATCTTGTTTAAGCATTCCATGTAAATGTGTACTCATCACATTGTCAATGATTTGCAGACATATTTAACATCTGGTTTCTGTAAGGCTTTTGAAGTATTTGATATTTCACACAAACATCACTGATTATATCACTCTGGCAAGGGACTGAGATGCCACTGAGGGTTGTAAATTTTGTTCCTTTCTTTTAGTTCTCACTTGTTCTGTAAATTCTCATCAATGGTGCAGATTCTTCTTTGTGGCTCATACCTCCATTTTATGTTTCCTGAAAATATAGTAGATACTTTGGGTACGTAATACATTTTCTATTCAGTTCACTGTCAACACTCTTGTCAAAGAAGAACTTCTGCTACACATGCTACACACATATGCTGCTCTCTTGTAAGAAAGAAATGCCTCTCTCTTCTTGTCCTAGCTAACTGTTCAAGGTAAGAGTTAGCCCCATGTGTTAGCATTCTATGCTTAAACTGAAATTTCCTGTTAATTTTTTTTGTTCTTCCACTAAACTGCAGTAGAAAGATAATACATTTCATTAATATTTTACACCCATTCCCAAAACATGCCATAATTACATAATATATATTTTCAAAATGCTTGAAATTCTGTTATCAAATATTCTTTATAATCATAGTTTTGGAGTAAAAGTCCTATGTGATGCTGAATACAACCTGACTCTGAAAACAGGGAGGCAGTGTAAACTGGCTCATGGACTAATGACACATGCAGTTTGAGGTGATTGTGTGTTCATGTAAGTAGCTTACTAAATTGGATGACTTTTAAAACACTGATAGTTCTCACAGACCCAGAGAAATTGTTCTCTGATGCCAAGGCAATGCAATTTATTTTACCCAGGTTTTCCCACTATTTGAATTACTTGTCTTAGTTAAACCACATACGGGGCATCATTTTTATAATGCCTAGGTCCCCGGGTAAGCAAGAGAACATTCTGATTGCCATCTTCTTCATGCAGGAGTCATGTATTACACATTTAGCAAAAAATTTACAGTAATAAAATGTTAGCATGTCAAGGAGAACTCAGGTCTGCCACTACTACAATTTCTTATGGTGTAGACACCTCACTTAGTGTAGACATTTCTCAAAATTTAATGTATTTAAGCAACGGGATCTGTTCGCCACACAATGTGGCCCCAATATCACAAGCCAACTGTTGGTCTTATAATAAACACATTTCTTTCCCACTCCTGGTGGAAAAAATGACTATTAGGTTTTTGAGAGCCCTATAATAGAGACTTTTCTCTTGGCAGTCTGAGTTTATATGTAATCTTCAACTCCACCCAAAAGGTCTTGAGAATGTCAGAGTATACACACGAAAAAACATCATGGCAAAGGCTCGGGATGGCCAGAGGCAGCCTGGGGCATATGTTTATCAAGGACAGTCCTAGTCATAACATGGCCACATCATTGGCATGGGGAGCAGTGAAAAAAAAATTCAACTATTTCTACTTCCCACATGTGGTCAGTGCCCGGGGAGTATGGGTCATTTGTTGAGTACCATTTTCTCTCTTGCTTTTACCACTTTGATACAGCTCTTCTTTCTTCCCAGAAAACTAACATCTCTATTCTCTTTTCCCCTGATGAAGCATACTCAAATTAGAACTGGGTATCACTCCAACATGTTTCAATAAGACCCTGGTTTCCTGTTAATAGCATTTTCTCTATTCTTAGTGAACTGTAAACAAGTAAAATCCCTTTACTGGTTAAT